CCGTATTCATAACAATTCTGACAGTTGCAAATCAGTGTCTGTAGTGCAGCTGCACCAGATATGTTTATTTTGAAATAGTGGTAATGGTGACTTAAATCTTTTAACATAGTTATAAAACTCCTGACCTCTCTAAGAATTGGATTTTATGGGGTTGCCAGTGCTCACAAAATTTAAGAAGTTAGTCGTAAGAGTGCCAGCTCTTAGTGTCAGGTGACCACATAAAAATGTAAGTTGTACTTTCTTAAATTTAATTTTTCTAGCTCTTGTGGTTTTGTAGAAAAGCTTGAAAACATGAAACCTTAATGACTCCAAGAAAGTAAAGAAAAAGAACCCAAAAGTTTTTTGACTTACATGGTGACATTTTAAAAGCCATCTTGTGCTTTTAAAATGTTGGAATTGATAATTCTGAGTTTATGATATATTTAAACTGGACTTGAAAAATCCAGTTATTAGGGGTAAATAGGAGATTTCTTCTGAAAATGGGAGACCTCTGCAATCAGTTTTAGTAGAATATTAGGTTTTTTACAAGGAACTGAGCATCTAGCAAATTTCAAGTTAAAGAAGTACAACAAAGCAAAATACAATAAAAATGAGTTTTGTTTTAGAACCTGATTGGCAACAGACTATCAAGAATTAGGTCAATTTTACTTTGTTGCTTGGGGAAGCTCTGAGTTGCTATAACATTATGGTTGCAACAGTTAATTTGGGGAGGTGGATTAAAAAATGTACATAGGATAGCAGAGACTCTTCTTTCTTCTGATAGCTAGTTGGTTGTGTGAGAGAAACTTGCGATTGGCTCTTTACTCCTACTGACACAATGACTAGGCTCTGAGGTTACCCCTGGATTAATGCTCCAGAGGTTGATCTTCTGGCATTCAATTTAGCGGATCTAGTATAAACCATAAATTGAATGCTGAGGGCAGCTCCCACTAGCATCTGTACTCCTTGCAGTCACAAGGAGTAAGGGAAGTTGATAGGAGTGTTTGGTCCCGTTGGCATCCACACAGTGGAAGGCCACAAAGGATCAGCTTAAGGTAAGCCGACTCCAGCTATGTATTTTACATAGTGTACGTATTTTACATTTACGTACCTTAAGCCGATCTTCCTGGTCTAGTATATACTAGGCCTGAGAGAGGAAAGTAAGATAGCTCTGAGTTAGGGTCTCTAGTATTCAGATGCCTGCTGTCCAACAGCTAAGGTGGAAGATGGCTTCACCCCTCTGCATTGGGGTACTATCCAGTAGAAATCCCTTTCAACTGCTGCTATTTAAAGAGCTCCAGGCTCCCGCTCCAAGAGTTGTGAGACTTTTAAATAGCATCAGTTTAAGGGGCTTGCGCTTTCTGGGCAGCTGCTACCATGTTGCTTGGCAGCCACCTGGAAGACAGGAGTCCTTTAATTAGAAGCAATTGAAAGGGCTCACACCTCCCCAGTGGCTCCCAGGTAACGCATTAGTGGTGGAGCTGGGAGCTGCTGTTGGCCAGATCAAAGTGCTTGGTGGGCCAGATCCAGCCCTCTGACAGCCCTTTTGCCTGGCTCTGCCCTAGGCCTCCATGGGCCTCCTGTATATAAATCTTGTCTTTGCTTTGTTATTTGGCTAGAATATTATATATTTATTTATTTATTTTCCCCCTTCAAATCTTGATTTAAATCTCGTATGGGTTCTCCCATTTCCCCCAATAAAACAAGGTTATTTTGTTGAATCAAGGCTCCTGGGGAGCGTTTTACAATCCAATCCATATAATATGTTCAGATAAGACTTATTCTTGTATGCATTTAATTCACATGCCAACTTTTGCTGCTGTGTTTCCCTCTGACCAAAGGGAATGTTTTCAAATTTAAAATACTTTTTTTGTATGTGACCGCATATGGACCAATCATCTCACTCTTCTTGCACTGCACTGAACTGCAGCTGCTAGCCCAACTCTGAAGGCAACAGCCAATGAGCTTTCTGCAACTTTGGGAGGTTCCCAGAGATGGGTCGTGTGGGTCAAAAGTCATGAGTGTGGTATTTTAACAGGTTTCTCGCTCTGTCCAATTATGACAACTGTTTGGCTGCATTTGTGTGCTCCCCCTGAATATTACACTGGCTCTGAGCAGATAGCCAGTACGGCAGGCTCAGAGAGAACCCCCAAAAACCACAAAATCAGATATGGGACAATGGTTCTCAAGTTGGGTTTGTTGTCAAACAAAGTACAGTAATAGTTGTCAGCAGACTATACTGAATCATTACCCATGTGTACTCGGACAATGGACTCAGCTTAGTCAACGGTGAGATTCTTGATTGCCTCCTGGGCTGGACAAAGACAGCCTCTTCAAGACGCATCTTTACACACAGGTACAAATAAGTTATGCATCACTCCTGCTGTATCAGGTTGCCACTCTCTGACGTTGCCTAAACACCTCGCATTACCTTGCACGTGGTGGTTCGATCAAAACCCCTCTGTCTATCATGCTGTCATTTTAGACCCTGATTTGAACCTGGGTCTGTATATCCTTATTATCTGTGAGGAGCATGTGGGTTCCAAGATGTTTCTTAATGAGATGATGTTACCATATCTCTGGAATGTGCATACAGCCTGTGCCTAGCACCAATTAGTGGTTTTGCACTACCAACCCTTTTTGTGCCAAGTCCTGAGAGTAAGCCCTACTCTTACTCAAAGCTTAACTTTGCTTTATATTAGCAAAGTCTTGACCACTGTTGTCTAGGTCTCAGGCCTCACATCAGATCTGTAGTACATGGGGTGATTTTTCAGGCCCTCAAGTTGCTATAGGTCTGATATTCCCCTTGTTGTGAGGAGCACTCCAGCTGGTGGCTCCTAGCTGTTAGTCCCAGAGGAAACTGTCCCTTGCATGGCTGCTTTTTTTGTGGGTAGAGGGTAAGACCTACCCCGGAACCTCCTCCAGCTGGCTACTGCGTTGAGCTTAGTTCTTGAAGGTAGTGCAGAAATGAACATTGCAATCCCATAAACCCCTCCTTCCCCCAGCAACCTTGTAACTTCCCACAATCTTCTTTTGGGTTGGGATCCCCGAGGTTATATGACAGTGAAAATTTCAGATGTAAACATTTGAATCTGTAAAATTGATTAAAATGGACCATGAATTTGGGTAGGATTTTAAATAAAATTTCATTTTCATTAACTTTAGCAAACTGGGATGGAGGGTAAGAGTTGGAGAGGACATAAACCTCTGTTAAAGTCTATGAATAACATTTTTTATAATTTAAGGTCAGAAGGAACCATCATGATAATCTAGTCTGACCACCTGCACATTACAAACCACATAACCTCACTCATTCACTCCTGCAATATACCTACCTTTTAGCTAAGTCACTGAAGTCCTCAAATAATTATTTAAAGACTTCAAATTCCAGAGACTCCACCATTTACACTAGTTTAAACCCTTAGAAGTGACCTGTAACCCCCTGCTGAAGAACAAGGCAAAAACCCAACGATCTCTGCCAATCTGATCCAGGGGAAAATTCCTTCCTGGCCCCAAATGGGCAATCCGCTAGACCCTGAGAATGTGGGCAAAATCCCCCAGCAAGACAATTGGCAAAGGATTCTCCATTGTAACTCAGAACCCTCCCTATCTAATATCACATCACTGGAAATACTTGCTGCTAGGAGTTGCAGGTCAGCTATGTGCCATTGTAGGCAGCCTCATCATACCATCCCTTCCATAAATGTATCAAGCTCAGTCTTGAAGCCAGTTAGGTTTTTCCACCTCAGCTCCCTTGGAAGACTGTTGATCAATTCTTTCTGTTTTCTGACAGCTTGGTGTTTTTATAACTAAATCCTGGAACCAGTGACCAAAAGCAGAGATCTGTTACAACAAAAATAATTTTCAACTGTTATAAAAATATTTTCTTTTCTTTTCTTTTTTTTTGTGTGGAAGGTTTATCTCTGTGCAGCATTGTATGATATTTCTACTCCTGGTGTACAGGCAGTCCCCGGGTTACGTACAAGATAGGGACTGTAGGTTTGTTCTTAAGTTGAATCTGTATGTAAGTCGGAACTGGCGTCAGCCGCTGCTGAAACTGATCAGTTTCAACCGCGGCTG